ACCCTGGTAACGGATTCTAGGCGGAGCCAGTGGAGCGCATCGCGGCCACTACAGCAGCGCGGTCGAGCGAAATTAGTCTAGATGCAATAATTGGTTGGTCGTCACCACACATGTGGTTCAGTTCATTTTGGCCTGCTATAATAATAATTTCACTCCGTTAATAGAGCATGTAGCAGATTTTCCGAGAATTTTATGCTGAGAACAATGGCCCAAACTGGGTGACCATTTTTGAAATTTTTCGCTCAGATGATTTGGTTAGGCTAACACCTGAGACACATTCGATATTGGACCATGTCTCCACCGGTTTTTTCCATTTGATTCTAGTTGTAAGGCGTAAAAACACCATCAGGGTAACTATTAGAGCCATTGCATTGAAGTACTAATAAAGAGTAAAATCTTAACCTGTCCGAAATTTCAAGGACCTATGCCTACTAGTGCTGATACTGTAGAGGTATTGTGTCCTTGCTGAAAGTCACATATGATTCCGCCACCAAACTTCTAGGAACCTGCAGGTGTATTTCAATTTATACATATATTCATGTATTCGCATATTCTCGCAAAAGCGAGATGTAGTGAAGAAATCAGGGCTGTCAAATGATCAGGACTTTTCTGCGACAAAGAAAGAGAGATCATGTAGTTAGGGCCGCAAAAGCCAGTCCAGCCATTTGGTAGACATTTTAGAAAGAAAAAGAAGAAATTGCATACCTGAGACTTTTGCAAAATTAACACTGTCATCACTTCAAGATCCTTGAGTATCCTTCGACCCGCGACACTTCTAAACTCGTTCTTTGCTCAATTGAAATGATATGCAAGTCAAAACTGCACACTTCGGTCGAGTTTTCATAACGCTCATCCAGAGGTCATCAATATCAGCCAGCAAGTGCTCCCACTCAGACAAGTAGAAGTGGATTTCGGCAAGCAAGTAGACAGCACGAGTGTAGGTATAAAATTCGCCTTCGAGGAGACGAACAGCTAAATAATTTGAATTTTTAATGGAAGTAAAAGCATCAAACTAAATTTTATAAAAGTGCGGCCACTCTAATCAGCTGACGATCCGAAAAAAAGCTCATAAGTTAG